GCCCCAAATCCATTAAACCTTGAGTCACCACAGCACATGTCTCTTGCAAGGACAGGGTTAGGGGTAGGGTCACAGATTAACAGCATCTCAGATACAGAACAAAATGGAGTCTCGTATGTCTGTTTCCTTCTATAGAGACACAGTAACAGTCTGATCTCTCTTTCTTTTCCCCACACGGACAGCCAACCCCAAGGGAACAATAAGGGGAGAAGTAATGCAAGACCCCAGAAGTAAGCCAATGTATAAAACCCCAAGACCAGGCACACAGTGGCTCATGCCTGTAATCCCAGCACTTTGGGAGGCTGAGACGGGTGGATCATCTGAGGTCAGGAGTTTGAGACCAGACTGGCCAACATGGTGAAATCCTGTCTCTACTAAAAATACAAAAAAAAAAAAAAAAAAAAATCAGGAGGCTGAAGCATGAGAATCACTTGAACCTGGGAGGTGGAGGTTGCAAGCCAAGATGGCGCTACTACACTCCAGCCTAGGCAACAGAGCAAGAGTCTGTCTCAAAACAAACAAAAACAAACCGCAAGTCAAAATATCAAGCTGCGTACTTGCTTTTCAAGTTGCCTGTTTGGCTGTCTTCCAAGCATACTTTCCTTCGTTTCGTTCCTGCTCTAACGCTTTTCAATAAACTTTTACTCCTGCTGTAAAACTTTCCTGGGTCTCTCCTTCTGCCTTATGCCCCTCAGTTGAATACTTTATTCTGAGGAGGCCAGAATTGAGGTTGCTGCAGACCCCTAGGGATTCACCACCGGTATTACTATTTTGAAGTCGTGTGACTCAGATACATTTCCCTGCTGACACAATCATAGACTTCCCCCAGCTTTCTGACTGCATCCAACTGAGAGCATATTCCTGCTTCCTTAGACACTCCCCCAAATCACCACAAAGCCCAGATTCTATAATAGGTTCTTTCTTAACACCCTCTTACTTAGGCAGCCCATTCTTCCTCGAGGTGTATGTTCTTCCTCACTGCAACCAGAAATAATTCTAACTTGGTTAACTACAGATGCGTTCCTAGAGGTCTCTGCCCGAAGGACATTGACACTTGAGAAGCTCTCATTTCTTTTTTTTTTTTTTTT